AAGACAAAAATGGGATTCTAGAGAAAGGAATGGGGGAACACCTGAGGTTTCCTTGCAGGCAAGTTGTTGGTTGCTACAGGTAAGAAGAAAATTACAAGGTGGGTTTAGAATCTTCACTTGATGAGGATTATTAATTTTCAAGATGATTATAGACAATATGCATGCTTGAGAGGCTAATAATTTGAACGTGCCTGATGATCTTGTCTCTTCTTCAACACTAAGATGGTTTAACTTCTGGCGACTTCCAAAAATGGGGGTGGTTTGGTGGCTGATTTGTTGGAGAACTTTATTGAATATAATCTATAGCCCTGATACTGGGCGCTGTCCATCCATTGTTGACTTGTTGCTCCTGATTCAGATCCTGTGTAGTCTTTCAAGACTGGTGAAGGGTGGCTAGGAAACTCATTTACTTTTCTTCCTGTTCCTTATATTCACGATGGATTATTGCAGATAATTGGGATTTTTGTTTGTTTGTTTTAGAACTCTAAAATGATACCAGAGATCAAGAAATGTAGGTTTTCTTCTTCCTAGCTTCCCTGAAACTGGCTGGCATTTAGGCACTTCTCTTTCAGATAAGAAAGCAACGCCTGCATATTTCAGCATAAAATGGGCTGGGAAGTTTGATAGAATTTCTGTACAGTTAAATGAGAGAGAGAAAAAAATCTGGTTAGGAGTTACTCTGTGGAAACATATAAGGCGCTTCTCTGAAAAGTAATCGCTCTTTCTTCATTGCTACTCCGTCATACTTAATACTTTTTCTTACTTAAACTAGTTTTATGGTAATGGCAGATCTTTGAGGATTGAAAATGTCCCCCCCCACTGCCAGATGTTCTGTCAATGGGAAGTTCTTTTAAATACCAAAAGCAGCAAATGCTCAGACTTCGGTTTACAAATGACCAGTTACAGGTGTCTCAGGGGTTTTAAAATTTGAAGCATTGATGCTACAATATGTTATCACCCATTTGCCGAGAATTGTTGCCAATCTAGTGTTTATCACTCTGGGTTGCCTACTTTGAACTGCTGTGCTATATTGTAATTTTATTTCATTCCTTTTTCTTCTTCATAGCAGCATTTTTTAAAAAAATATATAGTATGTAGGAAACCGGCTTAGTGTTGTAGAAAACAGAGCTTGGGTTAAAGTCCATGCATCAGGGATTTATATGAACTTGTACATCATGTACTTCACTTTGTCACACTTGTCATGTTTTATCTCTAATTGCTAGTTTAATGATTAAAAAATTGATTGTTGTGAGTTGCTCAGAAAGTCGGAAGTGGTGTTCACATGATCCCAGGATGCTGCAACTGTTCCCAGTTGTCAAACACCCACATTTTGATCATGTGTTTGTGGGGAATGCTGCAGTGATTATCAGTGTGAGGACCGTTGTCAGTCCCTTTTGGCAGTGTTGTTGTAACTTTGAACCATCGGTAAATGACTTCTTGTAAGTCGAGAACCCCCTGTACTTTTTTATGCAATCAAATTCCCATTGGAATCCATTTGCTATCTACAGCCCCAGCTTCTTTCATGAGCCCATTGATTGCTCTAATTCTTTTATTACAGCAACATTTCCTTTTTTAACCTGGGAAAAATGAACATGCTCAAGTCTGTAGTGCCATCCATCCCTTTTTGGTGTGATCGCCTAAGTGTTGCACAGGTCAGGCTTAGTTGTGATAGCCTCCTTTCACTTCAACAGAACATCACACTCAGGTACTTAAAATATTTATGAGCTGAGCTGCTGTATCTAGAAAAGATATTCAATGGGACTTACAGTATACAGCAACCCGAAAATTTGATAACTATAATAACTTTTTAAAAAAGAGTTAAATTCTATGGAAGCAGAGCCTAATATTTTGGCCCAGCTGTGCATTTAGTTTTCTTTCTTTAAAAAAAGCAGAGTTACAATTTTCCTAAGCCACGGCTATAAACTGTTTTAAAAAGAAGTTGTATGGTTTCTGCTCTTGAGCTTCTGGTTGTCATTCATTTTGACTTAATGGCATGTTATGTTTACTGCTGAATCACTGTAACCTGAAACAAATAGGCATGATGATGTGGTAAATTATGACACATTCCAGCTTTTATTTCCCCATCTGTCAATTGGTACCGATAGGAGGTATCTAGCTGTCAGTCAAAGTTGAGCACAGAGGGTAATGATATTTACCACAGATTCGGATCTAAGATTGATTTCTATCACATATTCATGTAAGCAGATTAGTTCTGAACATGCTAGCAGAGCAAGCACCCTGTTATTAGTGCAAGGAAACTGATGTCTTCCTTCACTTTCTTCCCTTGCAATGAAACTGGATCCCAAACTCAAAGTCCTTTTGGTGGCAGAAGAAAATAGCCAGTTAGAAAACGAGTCAAGTTGATTCCTGGAGATTATCTCAATATTAGCATCTTTGCTAATACTTGGCCCAGCTAGGAAAAAAAATCATTTGTGACCAACTAAATAAAATAACTTTAATTATCATCTCCGGCATGTTTTGTCCTGTGGCTATTGAAAATGGTGACCTTCTGGAAGCAGTGTAACATGGGAAACCCTACTCTGAAGGCGAAAACTGTTCGGGAATTGCCCACAAATGACTGACACAATTTTCAAAAGCGGAATAGAGGGGAACATGGAGCCCAGGGCTGGGTGCCAGGAGGGTGAAAATGGTCAGGAAATTAAGATGCTGAAAAAGAGTATTTGCAACATTCCAGGGGCTGCACTTCACTCCCCCCCACATGTGGTGTTATGACAAGGCTGCCTAGCAGAGTTGTCAGTTTTCATCATATTAACTTGGACAGTTTTCTCCTCCCTACTGCTTATCTCCACTTTGATCCTGGCTTCTGGAATCGCCTCGGAATGAAAAAGTAGCCAGAGAAGTCCTAGTTTGCAATCTTTATTGAACCAGCCCAAGATGATAATTACCCTTCCTATTCAAAGCCCAGCTCGCCTTGAGTTGTTGGGGTGGGGGTGGGGGATAAAGATCAAATCCTATGAAGCCAAGTGCTTGAGGTGCCAGCTCATAGGATCTGGGCCACAGCTATTCTGCCTGCCAACGTAAGGAGACTGTTTGAGTTGCCAGGGGGGACTCAAAGGAAAGACATCTGCAAAACACTTTGTGTGGCTTGAGTGCCTGTAGCCTCTTATGCACTGTGGAAGAGGGGATGAATGCAACAAGGCGGGCGATACAGGGCAGATCCAGGGCTACATAGGGAGCATCCCTTGGCCAGTTGTCCTGGCCAGGTTGTAGGGAAACGTCTAGTGACACTCATGCTGAGCCCTGTGAGTAGTCATTCCTTTAGGAACAGGCTTATCTGATGCCGCACAAAATTGGCTCATTGGTTTCTGTGTTAAATTTCCCCAAGGGGGTAATGCTGTCTGGGAGCCCCTGTGATCCCTCGGCTGCCGTTCTAAGCTGGCTGGCATGAACAGAGGGGGTTCGCCAGGGGCAGGCTGGATGGCATGTGGCCAATTCCCTGCCCCCCTTCCTCTCTGCAAATCGAACGTAATTGCATATTGCTTGTCTCTAATCCTTGGCAGGGGTATTCATTTTTAATCAGCCCATAGAATTGGCAATCCCAATAGCACTGGCGAAGGGGAGGAGGTACCATTCCAATCTGCGTTGAAACCGATTAAAAATAAATATTTCCTTTAATTTAATTGGTTTTAATGCCAGCTTCCCAGAAATGCAAGAGTTTTTAACCATGTTTTCATTTTAAGACTGCTGCTGGAGTTGATTCTTACCTGAGACCATATTTGTGGGTGTGCGTGTGCATGTGTGTGTATACACACACATAAGGGCTGTGTAGCTTTAGGGATCTGAAGGCAGAAAAGTGCTTAGGAATATTTTGGTGCATTAGTAATAGCAATTTGCCATAGCACTGATACTTATATACTGTTTCATCACACTTGTCATGTTTTACAGCCCCTTCTAAGCGGTTTACAGAGTCAGCCTGTTGCCCCCAACAATCTGGGTCCTCATTTTACTGACCTGGGAAGGATGGAAGGCTGAGTCAACTTTGAACCGGTCAGGATCGAACTCTTGGCAGTGGGCAGAGTCGGCCTGCAATACTCCGTTCTAACCACTGCGCTCTTAGCATTAACTTAGCAACTGCGGCTTCTGAAAGCAGTTTGGGTTTTGATGGTTTGGTTGAAGAAGCTGAAGGAGCTGTGGTTATGTCTCCCTTTTTGCTCTTGCATCAGAAGCACTGTATAAATGGATTATTTATTTTATTTATTATCTACGTATTCAAGGCGGGACCCCTCTTCTAGGTTTCCTACACACACACAAAAAAAAAAACAACTCTCCAAGCCAGGCTTGCCCCACTGCAGGAGGCTGGATTTAAAGCTTTAGTGCAAAGTGTTCAGCCTTGGCAACTTTAAGACCTATGGACTTCAATTCCCAGAATTCCCCAGCCAGCACGGGCCTTAAAATTGCCAAGGTTAGACACCCCTGCTTTAGTGTCTTCATTCCCAGTCTAACAGCTCTCCAAGTAGATCACACCAGTGTACTTCCTTTTCTAAACATAAGGAATTTTCTGTTTATTGACTGTGCATATTGTAGAAAACTAGCCAAGCTTTATTCCATTTATTTATGGAACACTAGCCAAGCTTTATTATTCCATTCATAAAGCTTAAACATGCTGCAGTACAATGAATGCATCCTGTTTTCTGGTCAGTGAAATGAATTCCTTGGACAAGCCATCCTGCTTCAGAGACTTAATAGCTAGTTTGGCACAATTGTAAGGGAGACAAAATACTCTGTCATTTTTAAACCTGATTGTGTTCCCTTCCATTTTATTAATGCAAAAGTTACTTTATTCTCGGTAGTAGTAAAACAATAATACAGTCTAAAGGTTGCTAAGGAAATCTTTGAAGTTAACTCTTCTTCCAGTTGGCTGAAGGTAGCCATGACTCACTTCTACAATTCCCTAGCATTGCTAGGTTGCCAGGATACTGGAAAGAAGTTTTATGAGCAATACAGAACCACACATTAAATAATTGTTTCCATTGTTCTGCTTTAAAAAAAAAATCCAGGAAGCCAAAAAGATGATGAAATCCTATTCCATTTCCAGAATGAATGTGCTAGTAGAGTCCTCAACTTGTAGGTTGTTTCCTGTTAGGAGGATATGACTAGATCAGACTAGTATTTGCTGAAGTACTTGTTTTCTGAGCGGGAATAAGAAGCACCCACTTTAAAAAAAAATGGCTGAGTTGGTCACCATGATAAATTTTTGTTAGGCTCAGCGGTGTCTACAAGATATGATTTAAAAAAAAAAGTTAGAATGACATCTATGATGATTGAAGTTCTGTCTGTTTCTAATGTTGCAACTCCTGTCTTAAATTAATTCAGAGAAACAGAAGCACAGAATATTTAAACAATATTCTCTCCTTCAGTCAAAATATCAAAACCTCAAGTTCATTTATCACTAAGTCCTTTCAAAGAAAGAAACTTTCTCCTGAAATTCCACACTAACTGGGTTAGTAAGCTGTCAGAATACACCAAGTAAGAAACTAATCAAACTATGGAGGATAACATTTTGTCTCCCTGGTTTCCCCCCACCCCAAAATAACCAATTGCAAGCTATTTCATCTTTTAGCAATCATTGTACTTAACAGTTGGCATTTAAGTGTCCATCTGAGCCTTGTCTGTGAAAAATGTTGATGTCTTGGCAGTGTCATAGCAACACTGAACAGACTGTGTATTTACACACCTGGTGTTAATTATATCTTTTTACATTTGCAGCACCAATAATACTGACTTACCATTGGAACAAAGTTGTTTTTTCCCCTCTGAAATCAGGGCCCAACGGGTTCGCCTTGCCCTCAAGTCCTCCAGAGCCTTCCCTGCAGTTACTGGATTTCTGCCTTCCAAATTTTGCAGGGTGCCAAGTTGCAAGGTGTTGTTTTTTAAAAAAATCCCACTGCTAATGCTTTTGCCCATGCCAAATTGCGGTGAGTAGTTTTCAGGCAGAAGCAGCAGAAACCATGTAGAGGTGGCATCTCCCTCGCTCCGTAGCTCCATGTACACCCCAGGCAGCCCTCAGCTAAAAAACAGAGCATCACAATGTGCTGGATTGTTTATTTGACTCCTGTAGCAAAAATCAGTGTTTATACAGCTGCTACAGAGATTGGAATATTGGTTTTTCCCCCCTGAAACAGCCAGGACAGTAGATAGTGCTTTGTATCTAGGTGGGAACTCAGTTCAAGTGTTAGGCTGTGTTGATATGATATGTTTAATCCATAGATGACTTAAATGTGGTTTAGTCAGTCAGGTCAAATTTCTAGGTTTACAGAACATTGAATTGCAGATATGGGCTGAGGTCACACATCAGCCTAAAAAATGTGACTGTCTAGTTTATGGTTCAGCGCATCCGGTGAATGCAACCTTCCAATAGAGAGGTTAAAGGAGAAAGATCTGGAGATGATTGTGCTATCTATTGTCATGGTTCCGACAGATGAAACTCTTCAAAAGAACTTTGAAGCATTGTTGACCTTAAAGAATCTTTATTTCAAGTAGGATAACATCGGCAGTGCATAATCAAGCCAAAAACTGAATTCCCCTCCCCTGGGCACATAGTATCAAAGCACAATTCCCTCCTCCAATTAACAGTCATAAATCACATTCCCCAATTAGCTTGAAACCCATAAGTCCTTATCAGCTCTGGTTACAATAACCTTGTTTCTCATGCTAGGCTTGGTGCTGTTAGTGTTTCTCAACCTTGACAATTTTAAGGCATGTGGACTTCAACTCCCAGAATTCCACAGCCAGCAATGCTGGCTGCGGAATTCTGGGAGTTGAAGTCCACATGCCTTAAAATTGTCAAGGTTGAGAAACACTGGAGCTGGACTCTCGTTCACATCCCCCTCCCAGTATCATCTAATCTAAAAGCAAAAGGTAAAAAGATGGCTACATTTCCATCTGTTGTCAGTGCAAAAACATCCGATGTTAGCAGCATTGACATCTATGCTATGTACCAAATGCAGTTAAAGAGAACCAGGGGTATAGCCTATCCAATAAAATAACGATATAATTCCCATCCCTCCCCCCAACAGCTGATAGCATTGAAAGACATGGAATAGGGGGAGAGAGTTAGAATTAAGCAGTTTCTTGACTCTATCCCCTTTGTTAGTCTCTCCTTTTTGAATAATCTTGCCCGTTGCTTAAAAAAAAAAACAGCCCGCCATTGTCAAGAATTATGAGTGCCGCCATGAGCCATATGTATATCAAGAAGCCAGAAGCAATTTAGCACAACCACATTTGGCTGGTGAGTAGATAAATTCACTCAATTTGTCTTCTGAGAATGATTTGCAGGAGCTAAGTGTGCAAAGCCGTCATTCAAATAAAACAGGAAATATTTCCCCCCCCCCCAGAAGTTACTTTCTGCAGCTGCTGGGATAATCCCTAAACTGTCTAGTTATTCTGCACAAAACGGTGCACAAAACGGTCTCTTTAGTAGAAGTCCAGTAGAGGGAGTCTGGATCCAGTGAGGAGACAGGAGACAGCTTGCAACTCCCTTGTAGACTCATAAAAATCTATAATCCTGCATGGCAACAATTCCCTAATAACTCACTCAGCTCTGCACCGAAGGAGCACACTGTTCTCCTGTAAATTACTATAAAGATGCCTGCAAATAATCTTTGTGGCTTACATGAAACTCCTTTTTCATACACATTTCCCCCATGGATTAAATATAAAGAGACAGCAGATAATGAAACTTTAGGTGGGTAGTTAATATTCATTGCATTTTCCTAATTATTCTTGCAGTGCCTTCAAAATATTGATTTCATATTGTTAACGTAGATGAAAACATAATAAGTCTCTAAATATTTCAGACAAATCAAATGGATGAGCATAGTAGCTAAGGCCCTTTAATCTGCAAACCTGCAGCTCTTTCAGAAATTAGATTAGTTTTAATGCCGAATCTCTATTTGCTGAATGCTGTTTTTAATTTAAGTAAGTTAAGGCTATATAACTGATTTAATACTCTCTCTTTGCATTTTCATACAGTTTAGAGTGATATTTGTTAATAAAAGTAACAAACTGAGCAGTGCCTCTTCTAGGTAAATGGCCATTTTAATTATTGTATAATTAGTGTAAAATTATAATGTGTATATGATTTTATTGTTCCAGTAATATATTGTTGTGCATACCTAAGCAGAAGAAATAGCATTACAATCAGCATGGAAATTTCTGATTAAGTGAATTCTGCCATTTTACTGCATTTCCTGACTGCCAATAACTTTAGTTAAATATTATTAGAAGGGCTAAAGGTTTGGGGTTAAAAAGAGCAATATCCACCAGGTCAGGTCTTAGTAGCTGTGGTCAGTTCAGTTTAAGCTTTTTAAAGACCACAGTAGAAAGAGGCTTCAGTATTTGAATTAGTACTGATTGTATTTGATGGCGTTTATAATCGTCACTGGAAACAGATAAGTTGTCTCACATTCGGATTTTTTCACCGTCTATTTGATTCCCAAAGAATGATCACATGCAGGTACATATTTAATGAAGAATTTTCAATTTTAAGGATTCTCCAGAATCACCCAGACTTCAAATATTTTCACAGCTTCATGTTGAAGTTATGATGATGATGTATACGCCATTGGAAGATTTGGGGACAAGACCATCCCATAAAACTCTATATATGTAGTCACTAAGTATCAGCAACAACAACTTGATGGCACATAATCAATTGCATACAGCATTTCTTAGGGCAATCTACTTTAGTCTTGTCAATACAAAGAGTTTTCAGAATATTTCTTGTTCCATATCATAGAGAAGTGCATGCCTCTTTTATTCCAGTACTGAAGCAAAATGGGAAGCTTTGTATCACTCATGAATTATGATTTAGTATTAAAGGCCCAGTGAAGATAAAAAAGGCTTTGCATTTCACTAACATTATCTTTAAAAAAAGCTCCACTGTAATTGGTATGTTCATGTTATTGTGATGAACCGTTAAAGTTATGAACAGAGTTTGCAAACCCCAGGAAGTCTTGTCAGGAAAATCCTGATCTCCAGGTGTTGGTTACCAGAGCCCAAAGCAAATACTGCTTTAGTAACTTATCTCACTGTGAATAGTGCCTAACAGAAAACAAGTGCCTTTTTAGTCTATATGGAATTGTGTGCTGTCCACCTCCAGTATGGATGCTATGAAATAAATAGGCTGTTCCAAATAATTGGATAAATGTTTTATTTAGCTTGTCCCATCACCTCCAAAAACAGCAACTGAGCAGATGTGAAGGCATGATAAATAACAATAACTTCTGCCTGTCTCCTCTTCTAAAATAAGTTTGAGAATGCTTTTAATGGTATGAGTATAAACATTTCCAAATTTGGAGTCATCTCTACAAAGAATGCACCCCATATTGCAACATTTAATATTTTAAGAAACATTATTCATGTAGCTAAGAGGTCAAAAATAACATCAGGACCCTTGCCTCTGGACAAGCCTATAACAGTGATGGTTTCCCACTGATCTTAACATATGTTTAACCAATTTCTATGTTTGAAAATAGGGAGAAAACAGCATTAATTCATGGTGACACTTTCAATATTTGCTAGTGACAGGATTATTTAGCTCATAAATCCTTTGCAAAGATGAAAGCTTTGGCTGTTGACTGCAAGAATTGCAAAAAATCATCAAAGTAATTACTGGTTAGTTGGGGCAGTCTGTCTTCATTATTGTTGTTGTTAATTGCGAAGTCGTGTCCAACCCATCGCGACCCCTTGGACAACGTTCCTCCAGGTCTTCCTGTCCTCTACCATCTTCTGGAGTCCATTTAAGTTCACACCTACTGCTTCAGTGACTCCATCCAGCCACCTCATTCTCTGTCGTCCCTTTCTTCTATTGCCCTCAATCTTTCCCAGCATTAGGCCCTTCTCCAGTGAGTCCTTCCTTCTCATTAGGTGGCCAAAGTATTTGAGTTTCAACTTCAACTGCCTTCTAAAGAGCAGTCGGGATTGATCTCTTCTAGGACTGACCGGTTTGAACGCCTTGCAGTCCAAGGGACTCGCAGGAGTCTTCTCCAGCACCATAGTTCAAAGGCCTCCATTCTTTGGCGCTCAGCCTTTCTTATGGTCCAACTTTCACAGCCATACATTGCAACTGGGAAAACCATGGCCTGGACTATACACACTTTTGTTGGCAGGGTGATGTCTTCATAGTCTTTGTTAAATGTTACAGTCACGCAGGCTGAAGATCATGTATGTCTTGGAAGTAATGTGCTTCGGTGTAAAGTCATGTTTACTTATTTTCAGGGTGGAAAGTCTTATGGTGGGTACCACACAATATGGACTGACCGTCTTGTGAGAACTCTCATCTGTGTGATGGAAGAAATAGATTTTTATTTATTTCTATTCACCCCTTTCCTGTTCCTCTCCCATCCATATGGATGCATATGTCGCATATTAACTGTTTTACGATGGCAGTTCTATTACTGTTTTTAACTTGATTGTAAAGATGCATTAAAATATTTTATGGGGCACCTAGGATGGTTGATCGCACCATAAAATAGTTGTGTTATTTGACTTCTTGGAGAAGTGCTCCTAAAAGACGAGGGGTTTAAATGTTTTTGAGCAAGATTTGAATTGTTGTGCATTTAAGCTAATTAAATAAATATCATGCAAAAATATGGAAATTAGAAAAAGCACCTTGCTGTTAAGACAATTCTGCAAATTCTATCTTCAGGCTGTTAAACCATCGTTAGTAACCAAGTTGGGAGCTATTTTGCTATACAGTTTTTTGCACTGTTTGCATTAGAAGCAACATTCTCTTGTAGAGAATAGCCTGCCCACAGATACAGCCCTTATGAATGCCATTTATAATTAAAACACATTCAAATATATTTCACAGTTTATTGATAGTGAAAATGAGCATCTTCTCTTCGCTTGTTCCAGCCGAGAATTAGGAAGCACCTTGGACCAGATAGAATGGCATGAAATGAAAACACCCTGGCTGAGTTTCAGGCAAATGGGCAGTTTGTTTTTATTATTTTCTAAAGCACCCCCCCCCGTAGGCGATTTGAAAGCTGTACAATTTCAAAGCAATTAAATAAAAGGAGGCTCAGTGGCCCAGAAAAATAGACACACGAAGAAAACAACTCGATAAGTATTGTAGCTGTCAGAACTTCAAACCAGCTCTTCTGGAAGATGCCTTTGATGCCCCAACCCAGAAAGTTGGTTGTGTCACACTGGGCATCTTTGCATGCAAATGTGGACCCTATCATTTCTACAAAAATGTGTGGCATTCTGCTGGAGTCCTTTAACCTAAAGGATACATACATAAAACAACCTTTTAGGCTTTTGTTTTAGATATGTCCCAGACTTTGAGTTTCTCCTAAAGATGGATAGTCACTCAGCTGTAGTCCAACTTCCTATCCCACACATATAAGGTATGCTCCTATGAAGAAGATGCTCAGATGAATTTTTGTTTCGCTTTGTTGTACATTGCTCATAAAAGTGAAGTACCGAACAAGCTATAAACCATGTTGTAGCATATTTTCCAGCATTAGATTCTTGGTAGAGTTTCATCTCTTTTATATTGATATTCAGCCAGTGT